GCCCTATTCTGGGGGACCAACATAGTCAAAATTCAGCCCATTCGGTTCAGCCATTCGGGAGATATGGGACTTTAAGGTTTTGACTGACCGCACAGGCAAAGTAACCAAAAATAGTTCCATGAATTTTGGCCTTGCGGTTGTTTTTTGTTCGTGCATTAAAAGTCACAAAAGGCTTGCCATCCATGCGTAACTCGCCGTTCGCTTGAATCCCCATATGTTATTAAGTCTTTCTACCGAACGGCCGGGTGTTCGGTAGTTTTGGCACGAATTCCCGGTGCTATGGAGGTCTCAGCGGTGTTCGCCTACTCGAGTGTCCGATTTTAGTTCCAGACACTTGATGGCAAAACACCGCTGTTCGGGAGTTTAAGATGGCCGCGAGCACGTGTAAAAGTCACGAAATGGTGGCCACCCAGGAATTGAAACAAAGCGTTCGTGCGCTTCCCATAAGAGCTGAATGTGCCTAACAGGGAGGTAAATGATCTATAATTAGGAAGCAGAGTACCCCTGTAATCCATCTTGGTGTATCTTTTTTGCTGAATTTGTCAGCTAAAGGAACACTGTATCTATATTTGTCTTAGGAAGCAGAGTGGCCCGGTGTTCGGTAGTTAGCATTTGTATTGGGAATGCTTAAAAAGTCCCGAACTGATGCCTGCAAAAGTCCCCATAAAGCAGGTTAGGCTCCTCCATTTGTTACAATTCTCTTCAATGTTTTCCATATGAGAAGAAACGGGGTAAACACATATGCCATCTTGAACTCCCAGGGGTTGGATAGGGCATCCGTGTTCAGAGCTCTGGGATGAAAAGTTCTTGAAAAGAATTTTGGAAGTTGAGTATTCTTCGCTGAAGCCACTAGATCTACTTGTGGTTGTCCCCACTTCAAGACCAGTTGACGGAATATCTTTGGATTTAATTGCCATCGCTTGGAATCCACATAATTTCTGCTGAGGAAGTCTGCTCTCAAATTTTCTGCTCCTGGAATATATACAGCCGACAGACCCAATATCTTCTCTTGAGCCCACAACATAATAGGTTCCAGTTCCAGAAGAAGAGTCTTGTTCCTGGTATCGCCTTGCATGTTTATGTAGGACACTGCAGTACGATTGTCCAAGTGAATTCTCATCCATCTTCCTAGTAGTACATCCTGAAAATGCGTCAGGGCTAAGAAGACTGCTCTTAGTTCCAGAAGGTTGGCTGGAACGTGGGAGGCTCTTTTCACCCATCTGCCCTGGGCATTCCATTGAAGGAGATGAGCGCCCCAACCTATACCACTGGCATCTGTAGTTATGTTCAGTCAATCTATTTCTCCTAGAGGAAACCCCCTGCGGAGGTGAACAGGATCTCTCCACCAGTCCAAAGCCTTCCGGAGGCATGCAGAAATGACTATCCTCTTGGACCACCTGTCTCTGTCTTGATTGAATCTTTCCAAGAAATACCTCTGAGTATAACGCAGGTGCCACTGAGCCCATTTTACTAGTACGATTGTTGACGAAAGGATTCCCAACATGCTCATATACTCTTCTGCTGTGACCCATTCAGAGTCCATCACCCTTTGTGTCTTTGACATGACCCAAACTCTTCTTTCTTTTGAAAGGAAAACCATGGCTAACTTTGTGTTGAACCATGCTCCCAGGAAGCATAAACTCTGGGAGGGGTCCAGATGACTCTTGATGACCCAACTAAACCTTTCCAAAGTTCTTATAGCCTGGTTTCTTTGAGTCAGAAGTCTTTTCCTTGATCTCTCTACCTATAAAATATCGTCCAGGTAATGATATATCTGAAGGCCCTGAAGTCTCATCATAGCTATCAGAGCCAGAAGGACAGGCCCGGACTGGGCCGCGATGGCCGTGGGGCCGAGACCAGCAGGGAGATCCCAGGATCTCCCCGGCCGGCCCCTGCAGGGCTGGCACTATCCGAGCGCCGGCCCCGCTGTGTGCCTCCGTGGGCCGGTGGGGAGATCAAAGATCTCCCTCACCAGCCCAGAGGCATGCAGATGCGGCCGCCGGCGCGGGAGGGAGGGAGGGAGGAGAGAGGACCCGGCGGAGCTCAAGCCGCGGCAACGCTCAGAATCTCGCGAGAGTGAACTCTAACCTGCAGGTTAGAGTTCACTCTCACCACTGGGCCACCAGGGAAGGATGGCCTCATGGCACCCCACCCCCCAGGCAGAACGGATCTCCTCCCCCCCTCCCAGGATAAAGGTAAGAAGGGAGAGGGGGGGGACATAACTTTTTTTTAAAAATTATTAATAATAAAAAAATAATAATATATATTTAAAATAAATTCCCAAACAGCACCCCCAGATACACACGCAGCACCCTCAGATACACACACAGCACCTCCAAACACACACAGCACCCCCAGATACACACACAGCACCTCCAAACACACACAGCACCCCCAGATACACACACAGCACCTCCAAACACACACAGCACCCCCAGATACACACAGCACCCCCAGATACACACACAGCACCTCCAAACACACACAGCACCCCCAGATACACACACAGCACCTCCAAACACACACAGCACACCCAGACACACAAACAGCACCCCCAGACACACAAACAGCACCCCCAGACACACACAGCACACCCAGAGACACACTCACACTGCACCACTACACACATTACGCTCCAGATACACGCTAGATCCCTTACCCTATATGCACTCTTAATCCTCTACACACATACACACACACACATCTTCTATACACACTGTGGGTCCTTTACACACTAGATCTCTTACACACACACACACTGCACCACCTACACACACACTACATTCCTTGTAAGGAAACACATACAACATTCTCTAAACACACCCTCTCTACAACCCCTACACACACTACGTCACCTATACACACACACTACTGCCTGTATGCACACACTCGCTACATCCCCTATAACACTATGCCCCTATACACGCACTCTCTACAGCCCCTAGCCACACATATTACACCTATTTACACAATACCACACCACACTCTACACACAGGCAATCCCACAAGCAGGCGCCAAACACATGCACCATACACTTTCCTGGCCGTTTTGTCCTCTGGGATCCCACTTGTGGAGACACCAGAGACAATTTAAAAGCAAACACAGTGCAAGCATGTTATTACATTTGCTTGCGCTGCGCAGAACAAATACAGGGCCTTTTTCTAATGCCTGAGCTCTTCAGCGGGGCTCTGCGCATTGAACCAACATGCTCACTTTGAGAGAGGGCGTGCTTGTCATTAGTGATGACAAGACACACCCTCTCTGGCCCCGCCCCTTCTTGGGGGGCCGCTCTAATTGAAAAATGCCCGGGCCTAATTTTTTTCCCAGTCCGGCCCTGCAGAAGGACCTTTGAAAATGTTCTTGGAGCGGTACTTAGTCCAAAAAGAACTGCCCTGAACTGGAAATGTTCTCCAAAAATTGCGAACCTCAAATACCTTTGATGATGATCTGCTATTGAAATGTGGAAATAGGCATCCTTCAGGTCTATTGAGATCATCCAATCTTCTGGCTGAATTACTGCTATTATGGAAGACAAGGACTCCATCCTGAACCTTTGGATGTTGAGGGACAGATTCAACTTGTGTAGGTCTAAAATTGGACGCCAATCTCCAGATGGTTTTGGAACCAGGAACAGACTTGAGTAAACCCCTAAACCAATTTCTCCTTGAGGAACTCTTGTAATTACTCCCTCTTGTAGAAGATTGGAAATATCTCTTATCAAGGCTTGTCTTTTATCTGGCAACCCTGGAGTTTTTGAGATCATGAATCTGTTTTGACAGGGAAATACCTTGAACTCTAGTCTGTATCCTTCTTTGAGGACAAAAAACACCCAGGGATCCAAATCTGCTTGAGCCCAGGTTTCCCAAAAGGCATGGAGACAAGCTCTACTCCCGAAACCTGGGGTATCCAACCTTCAGAAACATCTGTTTGAGGCTCTAGAACCGGTTGAGGATCTACCTCTGGCAATTCTTCCAGACTGGCCACTTCTCCAGGTTGAACCTTTTGTGAATTCTCTCCCTGGCTTATAGGACCTTGATTCTCGAAAGGACTGTCTGTCCTGAAAGGATCTTCTGTCTTGCCAGTTCTGGGAAAACCTTCTACCTCTGCAAAATTGGGGAAGAAAGACCTTCTTGCCTTCGGCAGCTCTTTTGATGGCCTCCTCCAGTTGCTTGCCAAACAATAATTGCCCAAGATATGGAATGGCACATAAATTCTTTTTCGGAAATAGGTCCGCATTCCATGATTTTAACCATAGGGCTCTACGTGCAGAAACTGATAATGCCATATTTCTGTCTAGGTTCTTAATTATATCCAGAGATGCGTATGAGAAAAACTCAATTGCCCATTTAATTTCTGATAGAGATTGTAATAGAGATGGCCTACTTACACCCTTCTCAATATCCTCTTCTAGAAGACAAAGCCATTTCATAAGTGCCTTAGAGACGGAGGTCATAGCTACTGCAAGTCTACAGGCCACTCCAGCAGAAACATAATTCTTACAAAGATTGATGTCAATCTTTCTATCCAAAGCATCCTTGAAGGAGGCTACTTCATCCAGTGGTAGGGCTGTGTTTCTCCCCAGTGTAATAATGGCCGCATCTACCTTGGGTGCATTATCCCAATCAGCAGTGTCTTCTTCAGAAAAGGGATATATAGAGGATATCTTCTATTGAGCTGAGACCCTTTTCTGGGGTTTTCTCCATTCCTTGAGCATTAGCTCCTTAAAGGCTTCATGACTCTGAAAAGAAGGTTTCTTCTTCATCAATTCTGAAAATATAGATGAGGAAGGCTTAGAGGTACTAGGTTCTTCAAGCTTCAGTGTATATCTGACAGCCTTAATTAATTTTTCGATGATCTTAACATCCATGTGTTCTTCCACCAAGTCCGAATCTTCTGAGGAATACATCTCTTCACCCTCCTCCGACTGAGCTTCCACAAATGAGGCATCAGAGTCTGAATCTTCTCTATGAGAAGTTGTTCTTGGCCTCTTATAAGCTCTCTACTGTTCCATGGACTTATCTACTGCCATCTGGATCCACTTCATAATCTCTGGAGATGGATCCTTAGGAGAACCAGCTGCTTCGGACAAACAAGTACCACATAGCTTCTTTCCTTCCAAAGCCTTAGCATCACATGCAATACAACGGGTAGACTTGTGAGACTTCTTTCCTCCAACAGATCTTTCCGATGTGTCAAACTCATGGACACTAAAACCAAATGGAAAGAGGAGGATTGAAAATACAATTTCTTTGCGTTCTTTTAATCCAATAAAAAGCAAAAAATTTACCTTGAGTGCCTAGAAGGAGACCCTCTTGAAGACCTAGACGCTGCCATTAGGGCAGCTATATGAAGGAATACACAAGAATTAAAAATGATAAATGAAGAATACCTATTAAAAGGGTAAACCTAAATGGTAAAGGTAAAATAATGCTTCTTACCTGCACTAACCAGAATAAACGCCAAAGAAAGTATTCTTAAGAAATTTCAGCTTAAACCCAAGAAGAGCGAAAAAGAACACCTAGTCTCTTTAAATAGCAACAACCAAATGAGCATTACCCTGAACTACCTTCAATGCGCATGCCTAATCAGCCAAAATAATAAGGGAATGCAAAACCTTCAATTCACAAAAAAACGAACATACCTTTTGTTTGCCGAACTGATACTAAGCATATAAAGACAGGAAAATTCATCCGAATTAAATTTTCATACAAACGCAGAAACAAACGAATGCTACCAGAGCGTATAAGGAAAATGCCAACCAAGGTGGCGAAATGGCGGGAAACTGACGAACGCAGCTTCCAAATGAATGAACACTAAGAACACAAGCAAAAAAGCCCATAAGAAGGTCTCCCATTATAAATCCATTACCAGCAAAAAGCTGATAAAGAATGCAGGTAACTTATATCCGAAAATGATATAAATATTTTGCAGAAATGTTTATCTATTATACCGCTACCATTAGGATCACTGCGGATTACATATATATATATATATATATATATATATATTCAATGTGTGTTTATTACATGCACCGCTACCATAAGGATCACAGCGGCTATAAATCCATGAAAGGAAAAGCATTGTCATAAAAGCATTGTCAAAAGAGTTGTCATACCTCCACGCGGCCCTCGCCGCTCTGGTCCCGCCATCCGCTCTGCTCATCCTGGCTCTGCAGCTTCCGACACAGCGCACACGCGCACCCGGATGCGCACAACCATGGACGCGCGGCATGCACGCGCGTCATCTTAAAGTGATAGTACCATTTTTTGCAGCAATCCTGGTAAACCTTTTATAATCTCTCCTATTCTCTCCCCTAGCCTATCAGATCTCTCTTAGCCCTATTTATACCTCCCTCCTACATCACTTCCTTGCCCTGTCGTGGTCTATTGTAGCCCGAGAGTGCGTTCTGTATACTTGTGTGTTTCCTGGTTTCTGACTTCGGCTTGTTTCTGGTTATCCGTAATTTCTGGCTTCCTTGACCCTTGGCTTTGTTTCTTGTTTATTCTTCCTTCTCCTGCCCTGACCTTGGCTCGTCTGATTATTCTGTTACTCTCCTTACTTTTCTTCACGTTAAGGCCGGCCACTTTAAGGACCGGTAATACGTCTAGCTTGGGCTGTCTGGTAGTCCTATAGTTAGCGTGTTGGGGAACCTAACCTTGACATGAGTCACACACAATGATCACTGCGGACTTATCATAGGTATAAAGTGTATACTTCACGCACCACTACCATTAGGATCACTGCGGTTAAATCTCTTATGCGTGAGATCACTTAACAAAAAACGCTACCCGTAGGATCAATGCGGTACAATATCCATCACATAATACCCATTATATTAGCGCTATTAGATAATTATTGCAGAATTCTTCTAATATTAAGGATATCTGCCTTGTATATTTTCTTGTTTAATAACATTTAACATTTCCATTTCTTCCAGGAGAGAGAGGCTGAACTCTCCTGGGGATTAAAGAGGTAAACTTTAAATAAAATAAAGGTAAGGTAAATTACCTGAATCATGTCCACAGCCAAAAGGACAGGAAAAAAGACTGATGATACCAGGTAAGGAGGGCCTATTTGTAAGTATTTCCTGTCCTAAACAGCCAAGGGGGAGGAGCTAACCCTGTCGTGATGCTGCCATGAATTAGTCTCCAGGAATATGAAAATATAATTGTGTCTTTTTATAAATCAATGGTAATACCACACCTTGAATATGCTGTGCAATTTTGCACCTGTTTTTAGGAAGGAAATTATGGCACTGGAAAAAGTGCAGAAGTGGTCTACTAAGTTTATGAAATGAATGGAACATTTTAGTTGTGCAGAAAGGTTAACAAATTTAAATTGGGTTAGTAGAGAAAACCGGCACCTCTGAGGAGGTATAATAGCATTATACAAATATATTCAAGATTAATACAAACTGTTGTCTTGAAATCTATTCACAAACAAGACTATACATAGGCCATGCATTTAGACTCAACGAGAGGAGATTTAGTCTAAGACAAAGGAAAGGGTTTTTTACAGTAAGAACAAAAAGGATGTGGAATACTCTGCCTGATGTTTAAGCAGCAACTGGATGAATGCTTGTAAAAACATTATATTAAGGTATATACTTTTTAATTAGTGTGGTAATAGCATCTTGATCCAAGGAGAGATCTGACTGCCATTCTGAGGTTAACAAGGAATATTTTCCTAGTTTGTTGCAAAATTGCAGGCACTTTAAACTAGATTTGTTTGCCTTCTTTTGGATCAAGAACAAAGATAGATGTCAGAAAAGCTGAACTTGGTGGATGCATGTTTCTTTTCAGCTATGTAATTATGTTAAAGGGCTTTTCTAAATTTTTCAGATTTCATCTGGTTAGAAGATAACTCCCTAATTTGCTATACTGTGTGTACTACATACATTCTGTATACACTCAGCACATTACATTCTACGTACATTCTACAAGCAATACATACATTCTATAACTTGCATCACATATATTGTAAATACATACCTTTTGTATAATACAGCATATATATTCTGTATACATGCAGCATGTAAATTATCTATTCATCCAGCACATACATTCTATATACATAGTTCCCTTTTTGCTAAATATGGCAATTGCACACAAGGATATCAAATTAGAGAGTCACCTACTGATCAGCTAAAAGATACAAAATAAGAAGAATTTTAATCTTTCAGCTGTTTAGTAAATCACTCCAACGTTTACTATCCTGATGTGGGATTATGTGGGACATATAAGGACATCAATTAAGGTAGCCATATAACAAAAGAGAGAGAGAGAGAGAGAGAGAGAGAAAATAAACTAATTTTATTTTTGGATGAAATGGTTTAGTCAAACCATTTTTTTTGCCATGCAGAAGCCTATTCTTTATATGTAAACAATGCATTACAGAATAATACACACAGAGGCTATAATACATGAAACATTTTATTTTTAATAATAACAAAAATGGTCACAGCATCTTTTCATGTAATCTATAGAGTGTTTGCAGTTGTTGCTACTCATTTATCAAACTAATTTGATGAGTTGTCTTTATACAGTAAGTGGATATACACTGTGCCCTTCCAAATCACAAGATCCCAAATGGAGAATGCTTTTAAGCTATTAATTAGTAATATAGGCTTCTTTGTTTCTGTTTTTCTTATTATTATTACACTCAGGGGAGCATTCTGACACTTTTGACAGGTGTAGAAACCCACAAGGAATCATGCCTGCATGCATTAAGCAGTATAAATATATTAATGTAGCACTTATACAATACATAGGATACTAAAGTAATGCTTGCTATTACAGAGCATTATTGTGACTGATAGGTTGTTTTCATCTAGATTACACAGTTTCATACATTTAATTCTTATGTGATTATTTTCATAGTTAGGATATTTATTTTAAATTGAAAAGTATTTGGATTTCACCACTGCGTCAGAAATCACCCAGTGAAATGTAAGTATGCATTGTAAATACAAATAAGTAATAGTACATATTATATTTAAATCAGTCATCTGTTAATGTATTTACATTATGACTTGTATTTTTCTAAATAAATATACTGCATTCAAGACTTGTCTATAAACGATAACATCTTCTAATAATATAAGCTTGTACACCTTTTTAGTTTTTTTGCTTTGCATATTTTCTAAAGTCTTCAATACCTTTTTTAATTTCATTATATTTTAGGACTGATGTTTGCCATAATGTGTCTATGCCTTTGTACATAACTTAGATCTGGCACATTGCTGACAGAGCTACAGAATATTCAAAAGTCTGTGTGTCTGTGTTCCAGGAGAAAACTAATGTAAAGTCAAATCACAACTGAAAAGACAGATAAGCACAGGGCAGAAAAAATTAGGATTGAGAGAAAAATTGTGGTCTTATGACTATCTTTAAAAGATGAGTCAACTCCAGACAGACTATTTTACAAGGAGACAGGGAGAGCAGTTAATTAATGGAGTGAGTTAAAACAGTGGTAATATCACTGCCTAAGAATTGGGAAACTCTGGTTCATATTATTGGCCAGACCAAGCCACCATTAGATGAATAAAAAAAAAGCGCAAGAGAGAGAGGACCAAAATTACCCTTCACCAAATAATATAAAAATGTACAAAAGAATATAGGGATATTGAGTAGATTCATTTCATTATCCAAAAAACCTTATGCAATAATGGATAACACTGGAAAAGCACCAAAAGCTGCAAATATCCCCAAAATTCAACATCCCTGAGCATGACACTTAACAATATATATCTGCCTGCCTCAAGTCCTCATAGACTGTAAGCTTGTTTGAGCAGATCCTTTTTATCGCTTCCCTTTTCTACAATTGCCAAGCATTGTTGGAAATATAGTTCTATAAATATAATAGGAATCTAAAAGTGAAAAGTAGAGTAAGCCTTCTAAAATTAGTAGGAAAGTTGAAAGATGAGAAAGTAAATTTGAAAGGAAGCATAATATAGTAAAAAGCATAGCCTAGCTTGAGTGAAGTAGAAAAGGCAGACTAACAAAGTAATTAAAGTGTGAATTGCAACAAAACTGCATTTTGCATTAGGCCAAAATAGTGAAAACAGAGCTAACCTTTTTTGTTTAAATTTGAAGTCCACATTTATTTCCTGACAATTTATGGTTCATTTAATAACTTTTTGAGGATGGTTTGATGCATTCACATAGAATGTGATGTAGAAACATAGAAACATAGAAACATAGTATGTAATGGCAGATAAGGCCCATCTAGTCTGCCCAATTTTCTAAATATTTCAGTTAGTCTCGGCCTTATCTTATAGTTAGGAGAGCCTTATGCCTATCCCACGCATACCTAAACTACTTTACTGTGTTAACATCTACCACTTCAGCTGGAACTCTATTCCATGCTTCCACTACCCTCTCAGTAAAGTAATACTTCCTGATATTATTTGTAAACATTTGCCCCTCTAATTTAAGACTATGTTCTCTTGTTGTGGTAGTTTTTCTTCTTTTAAATATAGTCGCCTCTTAACTGTGTTGATTACTTTTATATATTTAAATGTTTCTGTAATATCCCCCCGTCTCGTCTTTCCTCCAAGCTATACGTGTTAAGTTCCTTTAACCTTTCCTTGTAAGTTTTATCCTGCAATCCATAAACCAGTTTAGTAGCCCTTCTCTGAACTAAATCATCAATATCTTTCTGGAGATACGGTCTCCAGTACTGCGTACAATACTCCAAGTGAGGTCTCATCAGTGTTCTGTACAATGGCATGAGCACTTCCCTCGTTCTACTGCTAATACCTCTCCCTATACTACCAAGCATTCTGCTAGCATTTCCTGCAGCTCTTTTACATTATCTGCCTACCTTTAAGTCATCAGAATTAATCACCCCTAAATCCCTTTCCTTAGGACTCTATCAAATATTCTGTACTCTGCCCTTTTTTATGTCCAGGATGCATTATCTTGCACTTATTCACATTAAATGTCAGTTCACCTCATGGAGATGAATGAAACAAGAAAGATTTGACCAGTGAAGAAATTAGATCTACTTCTAAAAATGGAATCTGTCAGAGGTGAAATTAAGAAGGATGAACAATAATTAAATCCAAGGGGCTTATTTGCCCAACAGAAAGTTGTAACAAACATGCTAAATTGTATATATTTTTGAATGTTTCTATTTGGAGTCAGTCAGTGAGTTACATAGTTATAGGCTGAAAAGAGACTTGCATCCATCAAGTTCAACCTTCCTCACATTTCTATTTTTCTGTTGATCCAAAAGAAGGCAAAAAAAAAAAACAGTTTGAAGCACTTCCAATTTTGCAACAAACTAGAAAAGAAATTCCTTCTTGACCCCAGAATGGCAGTCAGATTTATCCTTGGATCAAACAGCTATTACCGTACATTGAAAAATTATATCCTTGAATATTCTGTTTTTGCAAGTATGCATCTAGTTGCTGTTTGAACATCTGTATGGACTCTGATAAAACCACTTCTTCAGGTAGAGAATTCCACATCCTTATTGTTCTTACAGTAAAAAAAACCTTTCCTTTTCCTTAGACGAAATCTTCTTTCTTCCAGTCTAAACACATGACCTTGTGTCCTATGTAAAGTCCGGTTTGTGAATAGATTTCCACACAATGGTTTGTATTGGCACCAATTATATTTGTATAATGTTATCATATCCCCTCTCAGGCAATGTTTTTCTAAACTAAAGAGGTTTGAATGTGTTAACTTTTCTTCACAGCTGATATATTCCATTCCTTTTATTAATTGTCTAGCCTGCCTCTGTACTTTTTCTAGTGCCATACTATCCTTCTTTAGAACAGGTGCCCAAAATTGCACAGCATATTCAATATGTGGTCTTACTAGTGATTTATAAAGAGGAAAATTGATATTCTCATCCTGAGAATGAATGCCCTTTTTCATGCATGACAATACCTTACTGGCCTTAGCCACTGCTGATTGACATTGCACATTGTTGCATAGTTTGTTGTCTATAACAATCCCCTAGTCCTTTTCATGTGTGGTTATCCCTAATTCGCTTCCATTAAGGGTATACTTTGCTTGTGCATTCTTTACGCCAACGTGCATAACTTTGCATTTTTCAACATTAAATTTCATCTGCCATTTGAGTGCCCAGTCCCCCAGTCTATCTAAATCCCTCTGCAGCAAAGTAATATCTTCCTCACGTTGTATTACTTTACAGAGTTTTGTGTCATCTGCAAACACTGAAACATGACTTTCAATGCATTTTTTCAAGATCATTTATAAAGATGTTAAATGGTAGGGGTCCCAGAACAGAACCCTGAGGGACACCACGTGCCACCTCTGTCCAGTTTGAAAATTTACCATTAATCACAACTCTTTGTACTCTGTTTTTAAGCCAATGTTCTACCCAAGAACAAGCATTTTCATCTAGACTTATTTCCTTGAGTTTGAACACTGTTGTGTGGAACTGTATCAAATGCCTTGGCAAAATCCAAATAAATCACATCCACTGCAACACCCTTATCTATACTTCTACTTACTTCTTCGTAGAATGCAATCAAGTTCGTTTGACATGAACTGTGCTTCATAAAAGCATGCTGATATTTGCTGATATTTGCTGATAACCATGTTCTTCTCAAGGAATTCTTGAATATTATCCCTTAATAACCTTTCAAATATTTTCCCAGCCACACAAGTTAAGCTCATAGGTCTATAATTTCCAGGCAAGGATTTTGAACCCTTTTTGAATATAGGAATCACATCTGCCATCCTCCAATCCTCTGGAACACTTCCTGAAAGAAAAGAATCTTGAAAGATTAAAAACAGAGGTTCACTTATTTCTACACTTAAGTTCCTTAAGTACTCGTGAATGAATACTGTCTGGCCCTGGAGCTTTGTTTATATTAACTTTCTTTAGTTGCTGTAGCACCTTGTTTTGAGTTAACCAATCACAATTATTCTGCAAATTTTTAGCAGCAATCATTTGCACATCTATTGCCATGGGTTCTTCCTTAATATATACAGAGGAGAAATAGTTATTTAAAATATCTGCCTTTTTCTGGTCTTCATTAACTAACACCCCCATTACAGTTTCATTTTTGTTTTTTTAGAATTTATGTACCGTATATACTCGAGTATAAGCCGAGTTTTTCAGCACATTTTTTGTGCTGAAAACCCCCAACTCGGCTTATATTCGAGTCACTGTCTGTATTATGGCAATTTACATTGCCATAATACAGACTGGGGGCTGGCAGAGCTGTTACTTACCTCTCCTGCAGCTCCTGCCAGCTCTCTCCTCCTCCGCGCCGGTCCGTGCAGCACCTCGATCAGCTCCCAGTGTAAGTCTCGCGAGAGCCGCGGGGTCATAGTGCGGCTCTCGCGAGACTTACAGTGTGAGCTGAGAGAAGAGCTGCACGGACCGGCGCGGAGGAGGAGAGAGCTGGCAGGAGCTGCAGGAGAGGTAAGTAACAGCTCTGCCAGCCCCACTCCTCCCCCCACTGAACTGCCAATGCCACTGGACCACCAGGGAAGGAGAGCCCCCCTCCCTGCCATGTATCAAGCAGGGAGGGGGGACAACAAAATATATAAATATAATAATATATTAATAATAATAAAAATAATATAAAAAATAATATAAATAATAATAAAAAAAATAATAATAATATAACAAAACAAATTAAAATATAAAAAAAATTTTTTTATAAAAATGCCCACCCCCCCACCAAGGCTCTGCAACACAAACACACACTGCATTCACACACACACACTGCATTCATACACACACACTGCATTCATACACACACACTGCATTCATACACACACACTGCATTCATACACACACTGCATTCATACACACACACACTGCATTCATACACACACACACTGCGCACTCATACTCTCACACTGCGCACTCATACACACACTGCGCACTCATACACACACTGCGCACTCATACACACACTGTGCACTCATACACACACTGTGCACTCATACACACACACTGCATTCATCATATACACACACTGTAAATAAATATTCAATTAATATAATTTTTTTAGGATCTAATTTTATTTAGAAATTTACCAGTAGCTGCTGCATTTCCCACCCTAGTCTTATACTCGAGTCAATACATTTTCCCAGTTTTTGGGGGTAAAATTAGGGGCCTCGGCTTATATTCGGGTCGGCTTATACTCGAGTATATACGGTACTTAAAGAATGCTTTGCGGTTGTTTTTGCTCTCTTTGGATATCATTTTTTAATTTTGAAGTTTAATGAATCTAATCACCATTTTGCATTATTGGCTTCCTTATATCTTTTATAGGATGCATCTGATTTGTCCGATTTAAATGCTTTAAATGCCCTTTTCTTATTTTTAATCTCTTGTTTTACTTCTCTACTAAGCCACATTGGTCTAAATGTATTTCTTTTATATGTATTACCCAATGGTACATACTGAGAAATTTATCTTTCTAATATTTGTTGGAAGATGTTCCATTTATCCTCAGTGTTCTTTTCACTAAAGAGTTTATGCCAGTCAATATATTGTAAAGCTGCCCTTAACTAATAGAAATTGGCCTTTTTAAAATTACATGTTTTAGTATACCCCGTGTGCTTTTGTTTTTTTTTTAGTTTATTTCAAAGGACACTATATTGTGATCACTATTTCCCAAGTGCTCACCTACTTGAAGGTCAAAAGATCATTGAATGTTGTTTGTTAAAAACAACAGGTCCAGACAAGAGTCCTTTCTAGTTGGTGATTGTACAAGTTGTGACATGAAGGCGTCATTTAACAAGTTCAAAAACCTAATTCCCTTTGCTGAGTTACTAGACCCTCTGTCCCAATTTATGTCTGGGTAATTGAAATCTCCAATAATTAAAGTGTTACCCAGATTTACAGCTTTCTGAAATTGCTCATACAGCTGTTGTTCCTCATCAAACATTAGGTGGTTTATAACATATCCCAACCAATAGAGCGGCTGTTTCCTCGGCTGTAACAGCTTCCTCTAATACAGCTACTCCTAAGCTGATGCTCTCAATATCTTCAAATCTGCTAGGTTGCACTAAATCATGATTAGCTAGGCCTTTCCTCCCCTCTCCCCATTGTCACCCAGCTACATGCCTGTTCCCAATCTATTTTATCTCCTCCCTCTCCGCTACCTGTCCCCACTAAACTCTGCTCAGTGAGCAGCAGACTCTTCTCAAGATTGTCGATCTCCCTCAGTGTTGCAATTTGCTTCTCAAGATCTCCAATCTGAGCTTCCAGAAAAGCCACTCACACACAACCGTCACAGAGGTATGGACTCTGAATGGGTACATCCAGGCATACATACATGCAACAAGATTTGCATTGAGTCAAACCGCCAATCTTGCTAACACTCATTTCCCCAGATACAGAACAATAAAACAATTACCTTGTTAGTTTAAACCCCTTGTTAGTTTCAACTCCTGGTTTTCTAACTCTTAATAGACTCTGCTTTCAAGCAAATGTGAGCAAGCTCAGTGAGTTAGGGGTGTCCTTTTATGGGAATACAAATCCTACACAGGTGGCAATTAATGAACATTCAACCAATTAATCAAGCAGCAGCACAAAGAAGGGAAAAAAACAGAACAAAAAAAATAAAAAACTTTTCTTTTTTTAAACTTTGCTAATAAATCAGATTAAACAAAAATAAAATAAAAACCAATCTCCACAGTAAACAAACCACTCTCCAATGAACTCCTGGTTTTCTAACTCCTACTTGAAAGAGTCTACTTAATAGAGTCTGCTTTCAAGCAATATGAGCAAGCTCAGTGAGTTAGGGTTGTGTCTTTATGGGTCAGGCATCTGTTTGTGTGTGTCTCTACATACACCATGATGTGGCGCTCTGGGGCATCACCTGTGTGCGACTATGCAGGTGTAGGAAGGGAGTATAGGTCAGCATAGTATGCCCATAAAGCTTCTGTGATTTCAGCGAGTAGATGTCTTGGCATTCCAGTCACTGTGCGAATTTTAGGGATATAAGTGGGAGTCCTTTCTTTTTGTGATCAACCATGCCAGGAAGGCCCAGCATTTGTTGGTGTTGGTATAGAAGAAGACTTTGGATTGTGTGTATGCTCTCTGGTATGTGGCATTCAGCATGGTTGACAGTTCCCGTCATAGGGCAACCAGTTTAGTCCAGTCCGTGTAATTGTTTACATAGGCGTGTGCACGGGGTGTGCCTGGGCACATCCTACTCCCCGCGGCACGCCTATGGATTGAGTCCTGCAGGAATGCGTGGGAATGGTTCCTGCCAACCCCCCCCCCCGTGTTCTCACTGTCATGGGGGCCAAGAAGTGATGAACCCCCCGTCTGTCTCCATATCAGACGTGGTGAGGGAGCTGTGTTCTCTCTGCTCCCTCTCACCGTGCGCCGTTTGCTGATGCCGGGAGCCGGAATATGACGTCATATTCCGGCTACCAGCTTCAGTAGACAGCCCGTGTGGCGAGAGGGAGCAGAGAGTACACAGCTCCCTCGCCGAGTCTGATATGGAGACAGGCACCCGACCCACGGAACCCCAGGGACAGGTCCACGCCAGCTCTCCAAGTAGGGAGGCTGGGTGGACATTGTTTAATCTTTAAAAAAAAAATTGTGAGTGTGTGTGTCTGAGTATGTGTATGTGTGTGTGTCTGTGAATGTATGTGTGTGTGTCTGTAAGTGTATGAGTGTATGTGTGTGTGCGTCTGTGAATGTGTGTCGAGTATGTGTGTCAGTGTGTGTGTGCACGCGTATCTATATATCCCATGTTTTCCCTATTAAGGGTTAATAAGCATGTAGGGATGTATATAAAAAATACCCCTTTCTGTCTCATTAGAGATATTTTTGCCAGAAGCTCAAGGAAGCAGGGCGAATGGTTAGAGTTAGGACCCACTTAAGAGGTCTGCCTTGACGTGGCAGGTGGGTATATCTCATGGCCATTGGAGGTAACTAAAAACCTCCATTTGTTTAAAAATACAAAGGGATGTGGAAAGAGCGCAGCTAACTTTTTTCCTTTGGTTTTTACTATATATATATATATATATATATATATATATATATACACACACATATATATATATATATATATATATATATATATATGTGTGTGTGTGTGTGTGTATGTGCATATATATATATATATATATATATATATATATATATATATATATATACATGAGTGTATATTATTTTTTTGGGGGGGTGGGAATCTTGGGAGAGTTCCCACACTTTATTCCCCAGGACTTGACCTCAGGATCTCCCCTGTGGACTCATGCAGGGCCGGTGCTATCTGAGTGCCAGCTCTGCTCTAAGCCTCCATGGGCCGGGGGGAGATCAAAGATCTACCTCACCGGCCCACAGCAGCAGAGGGAGGCAGGAGAGGACCAGGGGAGCTCTAGACAGTAGCCGGGCAACGCTCAGATCTCGCGAGAGTGAACTCTAGCCCCGCAGGCTAGAGTTCACTCTCCACTGTACCACCAGGGATGGCATAAGGTAATCCCTCCAAACATACAGCACACACACATACAGCACCTACACACATACAGCACCCTCACACAAACAGCACCTACACAGCACCCTCACACACACAGCACACAAACAGCACCTACACACAAACAGCACCCATCCACATACAGCACCCACACACACAGCACACATACAGCACCTCCAAACACACATTATGCTCACACACACACACAGTACACTAACAGCACCCTCACAAACACACACACACAGCACCCTTACAAACACACAACACCATCACACACAGCACACTAACAGCACCCTCATAAACACACACACACAGCAACTCACAGCACACTCACAAATACATGACACACACACACAGTATACAAACAGCACCCTCACACACACAGTACCCTCACACAGCACACTAACAGGACCCTCACAAACACACACACAAACACATACAGCAAACTATCAGCACCCTCACACACAAACAGCACCCTCACACACAGCACACTAACAGCACCCTCATAAACACACACACACAGCACACTCACAGCACACTCACAAATACATGACACACACACACAGTATACAAACAGCACCCTCACACACACAGTACCCTCACACAGCACACTAACAGGACCCTCACAAACACACACACAAACACATACAGCAAACTACCAGCACCCTCACACACAAACAGCACCCTCACACACAGCACACTAACAGCACCCTCACAAACACACACACAAACACCCACACCCACATAGCACACTACCAGCACCCTCACACACACATCACCCTCACACACACACACACAGCACCCTTACACACACAGCATACTAACAGCACACACACACAGCAGTGTATGTATGTGTGTGTGTATATATATGTGTATATGTATATATGTATGTGTGTTTGTGCTTTAGGGTGCACACCCTAATGCAATAGGCTGCGCACGCCTATGATTATTTATGTGTGCCTTCTAGGGTGTGTATTTCTGTAAGTAGGGAGGTGAGTTTCGCACTTCTGTCTTTTTTTCAGGACCGCTCCTTTCGTTATGAATTATCCACGTATTACACATAAATGAGCCTCCCACAGGCAGAGGGGGTCAATGTCATCCATTGTGTTCTCTGTTCTCTAAAGAATGAGGTGGTCATGTACGTCCTGCATTTTTAGGGGGTCAGCTATTAGAGATTCATTGAGCCTCCAATCACTGCATGTAGGGCAGTATAATGGGGAGATCAGTGCAGGGCTCAGGCAGCCGCTTTAGGGCGCTAGAGCAGGGGGGGGCGCAAAAATCCGAATCCCCTGCCTCTGGCTGGTGACTCGGATTTTTTAACTCACCTGTCTACCTGCAGCCAGTGGAGTCGGTCAGCCTCTCCTGATGATGTCAGGAGGAGGGGGCATGACGTCCACTGCTCTTCTCCCAAGACAGCTGGGGAGTCTGGGAGAAGAGCAGAGGAAGTGACTCCCCCTCCTCTTGACATCATCAGAAGAGGCCAGCCGACTTTCTGGCTCCAGATCCTGTCCCACCACTTCCTGGCCCAAGCTTGGCCTCAGGGAGGAAGGGAAATGAACTGTTTTTGTTTTTTTTAATTAATCTACTTTTTAAAGCAGCCCCACCACAGCCCCTGCCTCCCTTCCTCAGACCCTGTTTT